ATACAGAATGAAGAAAAGTAAGGAAGAGAGAGAGAAGAGCAAAAGAATGGCAGTATTTCACATCAATTAACCACAACCTAATGAGAATCATCAAAGAATCAAAAATCACCTTAAAAGGGGCTCAAACTTAAACACGCATCTAAATAGTTGTAAACGGTTACTTGCATTGGCTTCGATTGCTGAACAAAAGTCCTGATGCGGTAGACAACGGAGGTTATTGATGAGTTCTTTTAGAAGTGAGCTGGAGGTTTTCCTGGCCCTTCTGAAGATAGGAAAGTCCACAGCGGATCAACAAAGTTACTTGAAGATAAAAACTGCCGGAAAATCAAACTCAAGAGGAGAGTTTTGAGGAGTCTTGGATAGTGTCCGTTTCAAAAAGAATGTTTATCCGAGATTAAGAGGCATGAATTTTGAGCGGGAGAAACTTTCTTTGTCTCTTGTTTATGGTCCATTTGCATGTTTATTGCTGGTCTGGAAGATCGGTGCAGTTTTACCTAAAATATGCTACAAATAGTAAGATGCATTTCACGATCACATAGTGTACATCATTGTTTGAGGAATAAAGAGCAGATCATTTTGATACCAAGAACGAAACATCTAGAAGATCTTAAAGCAGAGATACACTCATATACCTGAATATAAGCATTGAGAGTCTAACTAATACAAATAAAGAGTTGTAATTAGGCTAATATAATAGGGAAACATACAAACAACATGCATATACCAGATACAATTGTAACTGATTAATTATAGTCTAAATAAAGAAAATGTCTTTATGTGTGTGTGTGTTATGTGTATTGCCAGCATGGGGGGGTAGTTTGCTGGCCATCAGGTGCCCGGTACTGTGGCTGTCTGTTTCTTAGGACATTGGAATGTGTTTGAAGTTGATGGGGAGACCAGAGAGTTGATCTGGTTAGCCTCTAATTGATAATGGGGGAACCATTGGTAATTTAGCACCCATATAAATGTAGAAATTGGGGCCAGGACTGTAATGTATATGCAAATGTCAAAAGGCTGAAAGGGTCTCTGAGACATAAAGCCCCCATGACCCTCAGTGATCCTAAGCAGACATTACACTGCATTTCACCTGTTGTGTCCTTTCTCATTGCAGCTGTGTTGTGAGTCCTTGCTGTATATGATTTTGCAGGTTTCAGAGAAAGTGATAGATTAGCACCCATATAAATGTAGACTCTGGGGCCAGGACTGTAATTTATATGCAAATGTCAAAAGGCTGAAAGGGTCTCTGAGACATAAAGCCCCCATGACCATCAATGATCCTAAGCAAACGTTACAAGACCTTTCAAATGACATATGACACATGACTATCCGAGCTGTATGATGTTTTTGACATATTAGAGTACATGGCACAAAAAAACAGGACTGTTCAGCGCTCGTTAAGAGTTGATCAAAATAATTACATTCATTAAAAAGCTGAGATTCTAAGCTTTAAAATTATGATATTTTGTGTTATTCCATTCAAGGGTTGCTTAGTAATTTGATTATTAATTTTTTCATGCGGGAGGTGTCCCGCCGGCGGGTAAAATCAGTGCTTAAAGGGTTAAATCAGTGTTTAATTTATATACCTCAATGTGTGTTGACCTGATCATCACTCTGTTGTGTGTTACACACAATACTAAATATAGACAACTTCATTATAAAGAAAAATAACAAACAAAAAAATCATAATCTATGATAAATACTATTATAAACTAAGTTTGTGGATAATTCAGTAGCAAAAGTTACTCTAGAAAAATCATGAGTGCACAATAGTTTTATAAAACCTAAAATTATTTGGGAAAAAAAACATTATTTAGTGGGGAACAAATAAAAGTGAATAAGTGTAAGGACTAAATCTGTAGGAAAAAATGATACACATTGCTCTTTGTATTGTTGTAAAATTAATTCATGAAAAACAAGTAAAATATTTATATATAAATATATATATAGGCCTACTGTAAAATTGAAGGTCATTTCTTTTAAATTTATAGCACAGTAATGAGGCAGCACTATATGATTATATGACAGATGAGACTAACAAGAAAGGCTATAATCTTTCATTGCGCAAAAATATTATAATACGAAAGGCTCCAAATACAGAACGGCACAAAGCGCTTATGCGCATCCCGTGCGCAGAATGATGCACTTGAAGCAACACGGAGTCACAGCGCGCAG